GAAGAAGATGTCGGCGTCTATGGGAGCGGACTCCAGGGGCGATGGCCTGGCTCTGCGTGTCTGGCCTCCACCTCGGACTCATCTCTGCACCCCCAAACTGAGCCTCAGGCCTACACAGAGGGGTTGCTCACTGGATGGTTCTTTACTCACTGGAGCCAAATTGGCTTCCACCCCATTTCTTCCAAACCCTTCTGCCCCAGAGTAATTTAACAGCACGTCCTGCCCAGTGCTTCCAAGCTCCTTTTTAGGTCTCCTGTGACTTTCCTGAAAGTATAGCAGATGCTTCTCTGCTGATGATGAGAGATTCAGACAAGCCACTTAATGATTAAGAGACTAGAAGTGTTCTCTAAGAGATGAGGAAGCATCGTTTTTGCTTTCTCAGTCTTGATTCCCTGAGTGGACTTGGAGGCACTGACGCCACTCATTGCCTATTTAGGAAGAAGGGGGGCAGGGTGAGCCCTGGAGAAAAGCAGAACATTTAGGGGCGGGAGACTGAAGGAATGAGAGCATGAGAGCACTTGGACTTCAAAGTGAAATTGCGGGATTCCTTGAGCCACACAATGGACACCAGTTAAGCATCCTGAGCATTTCAGTGGGTGATGGGAGGTGATAAATTTTCCAGTTCAAATCCTTAGTTTTCATGGCTGACAGGATAGAATGTCTAGTGGAGCCCCTTCATTTTTCACATGAAAGCTCAAGGTCTTGCAGCTAATTAGTGGCAGGGGGACTAAAGCCTCGGTCCCTTGACTTGTGGTTCACTACTCTTTCCTGGGCAGCCCACAGGTATGATTTCTCCTATGTCTCAGGGTATGGGAGTGCATCCGCAGGAAAGAAATACTCTAAGCAGCTGTGGCAGGTGGGCTGCTGTGAAGCCAGAGAGCTGTGCTGCAATGGATGGGGTCCTTCGGAACCTCAGTGCTCAGGCACCCTGGGCACTGCAGCCGGGGAGCATGCTATGTTATGGGCAGCAGTGTCAGATGGACAGATTTCCCCACGAGGCGACTTCCTAGCTCTCCCTCCCCTGGCAGCAGGCCCACCCTTCCTAGCACTAGCTGAGACTTTGAGTGAGCTGCTACTGAGCTCAGCTCTACCTTATGAGCCCCTAGGTTGGAAGTTGAGAAGACCAAGCTAGTCTCCGCTGCTTTCCAACAGCAGTGACCTCTCCCACACCAGGGAGCTCATTACCAGCCAGAGGCCCTAGGGTGGCCTCTCCAGTAGCGGGTAGAGGTGAAAGCAGTAAGGCCCTGGCTGTTCTGCAGCACCTGGTCTCCCCAGTTTTATTAGAGGCCAAGGTCTCAAACATTCCTAATGAGGATAAAAGGCTAGTAAGGTGGATGGAAATGGAGGCTGAAACCTTCTAGGTGGAGGGCAGAACAGAGAGAGCATTGGGCAAGTGCAGCCACAGGGCTGAGCTGAGCCTCGGCTTCCCAGACAGGGAGGGTGGCTACCAGGAAACGCTAACCACCTCTATTTGCTTAGCTCCCATCTTTCTAGTTACTCAAAATTAACTAGTAATTTTCCTTTATCAAATAACCCAGTGCTCTGCTGCCTGCCTGTGCAGGCCCCTCTCCAGCCCCTGAGCCAAGAGCAGTCAACTTTCCAACAGGCCTGATGAGGCCCAGTCGCCCACAGTGGAAGGTCCCAGCGCGGGCTCCAGGGCTCCTGGCCCCTTTCCTCTCTGCCCCCACGTCATAGGGACATCCTGGGCCCAGTTCCTTTGCCTGTGTGAGCAAATTGATGGAAGATGGAGGTCACTATGGGGTGCAGGGGCCGGGGGCTGCACACTTCACTGCAGATCCAGCACCCACATGCCCCCCCAGCTGCCACAATCCTATGAGACAGGGCAGCCAGGCAAAAAGAGGGGGTCCTGTGGGCCAGAGCCCCCCTGGAGGGAACCATCCTTGAGAGCAGTTCCTAGAGTCCTGAGAGATCCTGTTTCCCCTGAGGGATCCCTCATGTCCCTAGGCAAATCTCCTAAGTCGGTAAACAAACTGCTCAGACTCCCCCAGAGGAGACAGCCTGTGAAAACACAACTCCCTCTGTAGGATGGCAGTGGTGGGGGCATAGCAACAGCAGCGCTCATTCACCTCCTCTCAGAGGGGCCATTTGAGCCTCCCGCATCCTTCCCAGGCTCCAACTTGATCATCACACCAGTCTGGAGAACCATCCCCTCCAGGTCCTTCTGGCTAACCCCTTTCTGCGGCTTTGGTGCAACTGCCCTTGTGTGCTGTTGGGCACCCCTGAAGCACAAGTCAGCAAAAGGCAAGGACCCTGCCCAGAAGGTCCTCTGTCACTACTTGCTACAAGAGGGCACAGTGGTGGGACAGAGGGGGCAGGAAGCCCTGGAGGGTGTCAGGGGGACGTGCTCACTGTGCCATGGGCTCCAAGCCAGGGTCCTTGGGAGACACAACCTTGGGCCCTATAGCAGGCGTGGGATTGTCTAGCCAAGAGGAAAGAGAGAGGCATTTGGGCAAATGTGACCAAAGATATGCCAGCCATGTGGAGCAGAAGGTTGGCAAGGAGGAGGAGGAAGGGAAGGGAGAGAAAATCAGGTGAGGAAATAAAATAGGACTCAGTCGTTGAGAACCCCAGATGCAAGCTAAGAACCCAAACAAGGGAGCCACTAAGAGCAGATGAGCAGCAGCACTGATATAGGACCGTTGGGCACTGAAGCACTCACTATTCATGAACCTTGGGCAAGTTCGTTAATTTCATGAAACCTTCATCTTCTCTTGTGTGCAGTGGGGACAAGCAGGACACCTACCCTGGAGGGCTGTGCTGGAATCCCTGAGAGGGTCTCACAGAAAACTTTTAGCGAAGTGCCGGGCACATGTCCATTTTGGTGCTCATCCATTTTGCTGTGCTGACAGAGTCTGAAAGGATCTCTTGGACTTTGGGCAGGATTAAGCTTTGGAGATGCTGACTGCCTCTCTTAAAGACAAAATGGAGGGAAATAAAAGGAGTCGGGCTTCTCCTTCTACCTCAGTGCCTCTGTCAGAGATAGAGCATTCTACTAGATGTACCACTGATCTGATCACTGCCATGGGAGAAGGGAGTCACTTTCCTACAATACCAAGGCATGGGCTGGCTTCTGTGTCTCCCTCCCTTGAAGAGGGGACTAAGAAGACAGGAGATGCCCCCAAAGAAGATGGGGCCCCTACACCTTGCCTGGTTATACCCTGTTACACTATGTGTAGGGGTTGGGATTGTATGCCCCCCACAAAGCCCATGCCTCTGGCGAGCACTCAGGAAGGATGAATGGACCACCCAATGAACAGATGGATGCTTTGTGGTCTAAGGTCTCCCAAGGGTCCAGCTAGCCAGGAAAGGCTTTTCAACCTGAATAAATGCAGAGGATAATGGTGCCAATCCCTGCCTTACAGAACTGTGAGCCTCCACGGCAGAGATGTGTTTGTGGATAAGCTCCACAGGTCTTGGTCTTGCCTGTGTGCAAGGGGTTGTGTGTACTGAAGGAGGTGGTGACTATGGGATATCCAGCTGTAGCCCCAGCCAGACCCCTCCTGGGAAGCTGGGGATAGCAACCTTCTGCACGCCTCCTAAGATTAGATTGGGGGTGACCAGGTAGGTGGACAAAAAGACACAAGTGGAGCTACGAAAGGGCGGGTGTCAGTGCCACCTGGAAGAGAACACTGGGACCACAGGCTCTGGAGGGGAAAGCGGTGGGGAGTATTGGCTAATTCTCCAGGCAGCACCAAGACACTAGGAGTCTCCAGCAGAGGAGAATGGACAAAAACCTTGGCATTGCTCTCAGCTCCTCTCCTTCTCAGAAGTCACCTCCTCCGAGAGGCCTCCTTGACTAAAATTTCAACAATCATACCCTCCCCGTAGTCATTTTATATTCCCCTTCTCTGCCTTCGTATTGTCCTTGGCCCAATAGTACATAAGCTCCACGTTGGGAGGAGTTTTTGTCTCTTGTTCTCTCTTATATCCGCAGCATCCAGATCAACATTCAGCACATAGCAGATGGTCAGTAATTGTTTCTTGAATAAATGAATGAATGAGTGAATGGTTAGAGGACCCCATCTGAAATCAGACCCACCCCAAACCCTAACTTGTCTCCTCCTCAAACCTTGCTCTAGGAGTCCTACGAGAGGAAACATCCCCCATGTCTCACAGTCCTAAGCCAACTGCACCCCCTGCAGTAAGTAGGGGAGAGGAAGCATTCTGCTAAGGACCTATAAGAGATAGACATGCTTGCCATCTTTCTAGGAAGATGGTAAAACTTTCTGGAAGTTCTCATGTTCTCTGGCCATGATGATTATGGTCGCAGATGAGACAGAAGAATGTGTTCTCCTTGCTGGATTAAATTTTTTTAGGATGATCCCTTTAAGAAAAAGAGACAAAGCAGATCCAAGCCTAACAGTTAGTGTGGGGCAACGAATGTACAGCTCATTGGTTGGTAGCATATCCGGAGCAGGAAATCAATTCCTTGCATGTACACACTGAGGCTGGAAGCTAGAGTGCTGGGGTGTCTTGGGAGAGGCAAGAAAGCTGCCAAGGCAGAAGAGGAGTTGACAAGAACAACTTCTCTGAAGGACAGAAGCAGGAGGGACTTGCAGAGCTGCTAGGAGAAGGGCCCAATGGCTAGAGTGTGTGTCTTATGCAGGACGCTGTCATGACCACATACTTGGACAGGCAGGAAGTCTAGAGGGGTTGGTGACAGGGGAGGGTGAGCTAGAGGAGAATGGGACTGGGCTACTGTGGGGCTGTGGCCAAGGAGCACACATGGGACAAGTCAGGCCAGAGCAGAATGGCAAGGACTAGGACCTGAATGCGATCAAAGTGAGAGAGAACAGAGAAAAGGGCAAATTCCACTGAAGGGGTAATACTGCTGTGATTGGAGGTAAGTCCCTTGGGATGCATGGCACTGAGGCTCCAAACACCTCCTGGGCCTCATAGTGCCCCTGCTGCCACTGCAGAGGGAGCCAGGGCACCAGCCTATATGCCCCTCACCTGCTTTCTTGTCTGCTTCTTTATAGGAAAGTGTGGACTTGGGGGAGATCATGTTCTCCCTGTGCTACCTGCCCACAGCAGGCAGGCTCACCCTCACAGTGATCAAGTGTCGCAATCTCAAGGCAATGGACATCACAGGCTATTCAGGTACCTCTCTTACCCGTGTGGCCTGCCACAAGGCCTTCTCTAAGTCCAGATATTAGAATATAGAAGACTGGGAAGAAGGGACAAGAATGGTCATTGCTCTTAGAATAGGAGCACCAGCTCGAGAGACAATTGCCTGTATCTGGATTCAGCTTCTGCCACTTCCTTCCTTGGTAAAGGCTGTGGTTTCTATGTTAGTCAGCTTTCATTGCTGTGACAAAATACCTGAGATAATCAACTTAAAGAAAGAAAGGTTTATTTTGGTTCATGGTTTCAGAGGTTTCAGCCCGTGGTCATGGTTGGGTATATCATGCAGGAAATGTGTGGCGGAGGAGGCCTCATGGTGGTGAGGAAGTGACGAGTGGGGAAGAAGAGGAGCCAGGGTCCTAATATCTCCTTCAAGAGCACATTCCCAAAGACCTAACTGCCTTCCAAGAGACCACACCTCCCGAGGGTTCCACTACTTCCAATAAAAATGCCACAAGCTGGGGACCAAGCCTTTAATGCGTGGACCTTTGGGGGACATGTACGATCCAAACTATAGCAATTTCCTAAGCTGACAATTGGAATGGTCATATCTTATACTGATTGCATTCAGAATAAGTGCCTGACATATAAGCACTTAATAAGTATTGGCTATTACTCTCATCCTCTTAGACAAGGGAAGGGGATGTGTAGGAGGCCAAAAAGAAAAAACAAAACAAAACTAAGAACAATCTCTCCAATGTTTACAGGGTCCTAGGATTTGCAGCAGGGTGATGTCGAGTTTGAGTGTGTAAATGTTTGCAGGCCTATACAGGCCTAGGGCAGCAGCCCTGCATACTTAGGCAAAGGAGCAAATCCACGGAAAAGCAAAGTACATTTGTATAGGAGATTTTCTACAGGGCCCCCAGCCTCAGTCTCAGCACCAGGAGAGCTAGCTGAGCTATAGCAGAATAGAAATCTAGTGCAATTCCAGCCATGCAGGAAATGCTTATGTGGGGGCAGCTGGAAACTGTAGGAGAAGGTGTTTTAATTTGGAGATAACAGAAAAGTAGCTTGAGGCCTGGAAGGCTCCTTCCCCTGCCGTCCATTCAAACAGCTCTGAGGTGTGACTAGGGTCAAAAAGTCCGAAGAGTGCCTGGAAGAGCACTGTGGGCTGCACTTAGGGCAGTGAATGTGAGAAAATACCCTGCTTGTTTCTCTAGACCCAAGGGACCCTGCTGTTGATTCCTGTACCAATGTAAAGCCACTCCGGAAGTGCCTCTGAATTTGGATGAAATACACTGAAGGGTTTTCCCTATATTTCCCTTGTATTTATTATTTATTTACATCCTGGAAAACTCCCTTAGAATAATCACAGTTGCCAGACTGCAAACATCTGGGCTGCAGCTGAAAACATCTGGGCTCAAGTGTAACATCGTGTGGGTGGAAGAAGAGAAGGTATCAGGCCTTGGAAACAGGTTTCAGGGAAAGGTGACCGGGAAACACTGAGTTCAGGAAGGTGTGTTCACTCCAGCCTTGCCTCCCGCAAGCCTTGAGCCCAGCCTCCAGCCATCTCTGGGGAGTCCCTGCCCTCCAGGCTTCGAGACCCATGGAGGGCCCCCTCAAGTTCTTTGCTGAGGAAGCTGCTGACACACATCAGGACATAGCAAAGAGCTTAAAGAACCTCTGCTGACATGCAAAAATTTCTCACAGCAGCAAATCAGCTTCCCCCAAAATATAGCCAATGTGGATTTCATTTTAAGACCAAAATAAGTGTGTGCTGGAAACAGAAATTCACTGAGGACTCTCAAGGCTGTGAGGAAAATAGGATTTTGCTGCCGTAATCCTGACACTATCTTCTCTGGTGTAATTAAATGGACGTGCTAGAGAGAGAGCTCGCTCACAGTAAAGCCATCGGTAATTTCAAGGCCATTCCAAATCAGAAGGTTTGGGGTGAGAGTTTTTTTTATGTTAAACTCTAAGCTGCTCACAGTTGCCTTCTTTTCTACCTGGGGTTGGAATGTGGTCCTAAATCTCAGTTAGATTCTGAAAGTGCAGGCGATGACTGTCTTTTTTGGTCACTGATGTAAGTATATGGCGCAATGCCTGGAATACATAAGCATTCATTAAATATGGATTAATGAATGAATGAACAAGTAAATGAATGAGTTTGTAGCATGAGGAACCTGGCCCGAGGGTGATGCCATTGATGGTACAAGCCAGGGCCCTCTCACACTGCATCTTGTTTCTGAGAGTGAGTTTGAAGTTGCCTTCAGCCCAGGCTGTTGGACTATCCTGGGGAGTGAATGGAGCTTATTAATTGCCTGTTTAGCTTTATATGGCATTGAGCTCTAAAACTGAGGATCTTCTTCTTCTCCTCCTTGTTTCACACTAGCCCAGGCTCTTTTCTCTAAGCTTATCTGCTAGAACCATGATAATAAAAATAGTACAAAATAATAATAAGGATCCACATGCTACAAAAGGATGGTGAGTTAACCCTCTTACCTCTGCCACTTCTCCTCCATACTGCTTTGAATCTAGTAATCAAAAATGTGAGCCTAGGAGTCAGACCTGGGTTCAAATCCTAGGCAAGTTTCTATTCCTTCTATGCCTTAGATTTCCTACCTATGAAATGGAGATATTGATGATAAATATTTCATAGAGTTGATGTGAAGTTTAAACATCCTTATGTATGTACATTTCTTTTCTTTTTCTTTTTGTACTGGGGATTGAACTCAGGACCTTGTGCTTGCAAGGCAGGCATGGTGCCGCTGAGCTAGATCACCAGCCCTATATGTACATTTCTTAGCACAGTACGTAGTACACACCAAGTGCTCAATTCTGACGGCTCCTATGGCAATGAGGCTGAACTACACTGCTGGGCTTTGTGCCACCTCATCAGCTACATAGAGCATCATAGAGAGGAACAGGCCTCACAGATCCTCTGAGTCCAGCATTCTACTAGACACCACAAGCTTTTCCCCCAGAGAACCCCAGGAGACAGTCATCTCTACTTAACTTAGCAGGTGCTGGTGAGAGCACTGGTTCCTACAAGGGAAGTGAACCCACTGAATTTATAAATAAATTGCATATGCCTGATAGGGATGAACAGAGCTGAGGAAAGAGCTATTTTCCCAGTGGCCCATGGGACAAGTGGCCCTGCCTATATTTTCCAAGCCTCATAACATGGGAATTTGCCTTGAGTGCATGGAAATAGGAATGGCAGAGCAAACTCATGCCTGAAGACACTTTTGAAGGCTATGTGTACCCTTAGAGTTGAATGTCAAAGACAGGTCCTGGGGCCAGCTCTTCCCACCTGTCTGTTTGGACTGGACAATGTCCTGGGGTGTATCCACGGAAAGCTCTCTCACTCAGGTTCTGAAAACTCCTTTCTCCTGTTTTACTGAAAACCTTCCTGAGAGGAGGCGCTTGCAAATGGGTAGTCAGAGACAGCAGGTTGATTAAATACTTCCTGATTTCCCCAGTTCCTCCATAAACCTTAGAGTCCCCATGGTTAAAGTACAGCTGCCACTGTCACACTGGTTAGTCAGCAGCTCATTTAGATGCCTCTGGAAATGCCTGTAAGGCTTGGAGCTTCTGATCAGGTGCTGCAGTTTCTTGATTCCCACCATAATTGTGTGTCTCCCCTGCCTCATGTATAATAACAGGAATGTGAGGGCCAAGTGGGTGTCAGGTGTCCAGGAGGTACAACTGTACCCCTAGGAATAGCAGAGCTGGGAGCTGCCTTGGCCCATTCCTCGGGACAGATTTCATGAGCTCTGGCTTCTGGGCAAGAAGGTGTCTCAGCACACCAACATCTCAAAAGCTATTGTTAACTGTGAGCTGCCCTCCTGTTTCTTGAGCTGTGTGACATAAATACTAATTATGATGGTTACTGAAACACCTGTGCTTTGAGATACAATACGTCTTACTTCATTCGGATGAGTAGAAAATTTCAGGGTAGAAAGATGACCATGAAATACCTATTCAGAAACCTAAAAACTCTTTTGTTTTTAGGTTAGGAGATTGGGAGGCACAACAGAAGTTTAATAAAAAGACACTGCTTTGCAGGATGGAGAGCATCCAAGATCCCACAGAGAAATGAAATGTCAACCAGCTGCCCCGAGTCTCAGGAGACCGCCCCACTCACTCTCCCAGCCACAGCTCCTTCCTCCTCTGCTGTTCAGAAGTGAGCAGGGATAGCTTCAGTGAGACAAAGAGCAGCGCCTCTTTCCCCCTTCCTGATCCCGAGTGAAAATGAGATTACTGGGACAATGAGACCCAAAATCATCTTGTCAGGTGGGGAGGACATGAACAGCGATGTGATTGTTGCTGTTCATTTTGCTCTGACGATGTGGCTATTCTTTGAGCACCACTGAGTTCTATTTTTACCTCCTTTATCCACCAATTAAACATCGCGAGAAAAGGACTCCATATAAGTGAAAGAAATAGTGTCATTGTTCAACCCCCTTTTGGGCCAGCCAACCAGCCATCGTGGGGCTGAGACGTAGGACTGGGAACTGCTTATGCATGGGCAAGAGTTCTGTCTGATTGGGGCTAGCTTCCCTATTTGTGAAAGTCCACTAGGCATGCTCCCAAGAATACTGCTGTGGCTAAAGACTCTGTGTGCATTAAGCACTGAGCATCCTCAGAGACAAGTGTACTACATGAATACAAGGTGGTTTAATTATTTGAACAACCCACTGATTGCATCTGATGAGCAGCAGTAGGTCCAGGGCTTCTGTCCCTCTGCTGCACATGATGCTCGGGGAGATCTGTTTAACATGCACCCTTCCCTTTGCACTGCCTCTGTTGGCACAGATCCCTATGTCAAAGTGTCCCTGCTCTGTGATGGGCGGAGGCTGAAGAAGAAGAAAACAACCATAAAGAAGAACACTCTCAATCCCATCTACAATGAGGCCATCATCTTCGACATCCCCCCAGAGAATATGGATCAAGTCAGCCTGCTCATCTCGGTTATGGATTATGATCGGTAGGTATGGTCCCAGAGGGACATGATTCTCTGTCCTTCTCCTGCACTCCAATTCAGTGTAGGGCTTCTTGACCTGTAGTTTTGGGCTCAGATGGCTTCTGGCCTCGAATCTGGCTCCACCTAAGAATGGCACAGAAGTTTGAGGAAGAATATGGACTCCCCCTTAGCAAAGAGCTTCCTCTTACCTTCCAGCTAGTTCCATCTGGAGTAACTTCACCCATCATTTTCCCCAGATTCACCCCTGACTCTTCCTGTTCTTCCATCTGGAACCAAGTCCTAGCATCTGTCCTTTAAAATGCCTCTGTATCCTCTCCATTTCTGCCACTCTTACTCCAGGATGGCTGTGCAGCCTCTGTCACCCTCTGCCCTGATTCAGCCAGCAGACTAAGGACATACCTTCCTGAACACTTTCTTCTGGACCGGCCCTTTTCAAGAACTATCAGTGACTCTTATTTTCTCACCTCTTCGTGTGGACTCTCAAGACCTTTCATAATCTGGACCCAGAATATCCATCCAACCTGATTTCCCCTTTCTCAGATGTAGTTCTCTTTTGCTAACCCTCCATTCCCATCAAGACTGACTCTAAGACATTTTCTAGCTACTCCAGCACCATGACTGCTTCTCTCCAGGTGTCATTTCATTCGAAGGAGATGAAATCCATGCAATAAAGCCTTAATCCTGGGTTTTTAGCTCAAGTTCTCAGGCATAGTAGGTGCTTGACAAACATGCATACTTGAGTGATGATTCATGTTCTTGCTGAGTGAATAAATCACATTCCAGCCACTGGGGGATGGAGAAATGGTACTCAGAGCAAGGTGATTTATTTCCAGACACTGATGTCTCCAGTGAGGTTGTAATGTGTTGGTCAAGTCAAGTAAGGGAAGAGACAAACTCTCCCAATCCCCAGAGTCAGGCCACCTGCCACCATTTCCTGAGATGCCAAACAAATTTACCTTTTTGCTCATCTCTTTGTGTCCAACATCCACCTAAGGAGAATAGGCAAAGCCTGACAGCCATTGACACCTCGAGGCCATGCCGAGCACCAGTTTTCAGAGGTGACAGTTCTGAGTGAGCCCTACTGGGCAGGGCCCCACCCCCAGAACCTCCCTCTCTGGGAGGATGTCTGGTAGCTAATACAGGGTCCTTTGTTACTCCCTTAGAGTGGGCCACAATGAGATCATCGGTGTCTGTCGTGTGGGCATCCATGCTGAAGGCCTGGGCAGGGACCACTGGAATGAGATGCTGGCATACCCTCGGAAGCCCATTGCACACTGGCACTCCTTGGTGGAGGTAAAGAAATCCTTCAAAGAGGTGGGTGAGATCGCCTGGGCCTTGGCATGCTTGCTGCATGATGGTGTGGGCTGGAGAATGGCAGTTGGCTGCTGCAAGTCCCTCGGCCTTCTGTGGGAAGGGAGCCAGGGGCCGCACGCTTCTCAGCAGGTGTGTAACAGGCAGGAGTGGGAAGAAGATGGAGGCTGCCTGACAAAAAGCCCCTGTTTAGAGTTTTGAAAGCAACACTGGGTTCTTAATGGAAGATAAGAACTTTTTTCAGGCCACTATGGCAGGCCTGAAAAGCTTTCACAATGTCCTTGGGCCAAGTTAGTCCTTGAGGAGATAGTCCCAAGGGAGTGAGATCAGAACTTGGCAAGAAATTCTATGCCTGTCAGAACAGTAGGTTCTCTAAGGCTCAAGCCAGGCAGTCACTTGGCAGTTTTCACTGCCAGGATAGAGATGGCTAAAGAACAGATTCCTCCACTTAGGAACTTAGTTCTCACCATTGTTGCAGAAGGGAGCGTGGCCTCTAGGTGGCGTCACACTTTCTGGCTAAAGCTGTGGGGCTAGGTTCTAACAGAGAGGCCCTGGCCTGGGAGTCCCAAGACTTGGGTTCCAAGTTTGGCTTTCTGTGTAATCTGAAGCCTGCCATGTCTCTCTCAACTGCAAAGAAAATGTCCCTTTGAGTGATATTTAGTTTGCCCCTACCACCACCAAATCCCACCAGTTTAAGATCCTGTGATTTATCACATTGGTAGTCCCTGGGCTTGCTTTTTCTCAAATGGATTGGAACATAGGGGTGCTCAGGAAAGCTCTGAACTTCATTTTCAGTATCTCATACCCTAGTCCTAGAATGTTGAGTGATCGTTTCCTCATCTTCACAGGCTGCAAACCTACTAAGCCTAGAGAGCTGTATAAAATTAGAAATTTTTCTAATAACAAAAAAAAAGCTTTATCCCTTCCACCACTGACCCCTCAGTTTAAAAGCAGAGTCACCTTAAAAACAGAGCAATTCCTCCTCCCACTCTGATGCAGAAAAGATGAAAAGATGCAGCCACAAACCCTGAGGCCCACCAGCTCCCTTTCCTTCTCAGGGTGGGCAAGCCATTTCCACCTGCTTCTAGCAGTGTGAGTCCTGAGAGAGACTGGGAGCTGACAGGATGGGACATGTGGCCATAGTGGCCTCTAGGGAGCCAGGCTAATTGACTTACCTTCTAGATAGACCTGTGCTTTGTAGAGTTCCAGCCTGTAGCCTTAGAGTCAGCACTGAGGAGTCCAACATAGACCAAAGTTCCTGTCAGCTGTCTTGTGATTGCCTTGATTTTACCATAGCTGTTGAGCTTTAATGAGTGAGACCATTCCCTTGGCTTTCTGGTTCTCCTTGCAGCCCCCTCTGTTCCAGAAGGGCCTCTGCGGGGTGAATGAGATGCCCAGTTCCAGCTATGCTGGGCCATCTGGGGACAGCCTTGCACCTCACTGAACACAGTGTGGGTTCAGCCCAGGAAGAGGCCATGACAGCCCCTCCCCCTTTAATCCTGTGGAGATATTTAAGAATAGACTCAGCGTACTAAACTATGTAGGGCAGTTTGGAGCAGGGCATCGTGAATTAAGAGGGCTGTGGAGCCTCAGGCAACCCACTGCTCCACTCTGGTCTTTGGTTTTCTGGTCGGTAAATGAGGGGAGAGACCCTTGCCATCTGTGCTTCTTCTGCAGAATGCTGACCCTAAATGACAGCTGGGCCCAGGAGCCCACACGCTGTACTGCGAGTGCTTTGCTAACCTTGAATCCGAAATAACCCATTTCAGCGACCAGGCCAGGCCTGTCCCTGGGTGACGAAGTGACTGACAGAGCTGTGGCCAGAGGGGGAGATCCAGGCCCCAGCATCCTGATGAATACCACCTAATTAAACCAAATAATTGATTCGGAGTCCTGTTTCTTTGAGAATCCTGACTCACTAGTCCAGACTACAAAAGAGAGAAAGATAAAGTAGAATCAAGCCCTTGAAAATGAATATTTGATGAGATAGTGAAGGGAAAGTAACAGTATATGGAAAACGAAAAGAGATTAAATTGATTCATACCCTTTGGGTTTATGTTTTCTTGACCCGGCATACTGAGCGTCTCGCTGCTCCTCCCCCAACCCGCTACCCAAACATTTTCTGCTCAGCTGATCATTTCTCTGTAGGAAGGAGCTGAAAATGACATTTCTCTTGGCAACTCAGGATTTCAACAGTCCGCATTTGTGTAGAATTTTCACTGATAGTTTTAGCACCCACAGTTTAAATCTCTTTACAAAAGTGCATCTAAACCCCACTGGGCTGATAGGAAGTAAATGCTCTTGTGTTCCTGTGATGCCTTGGGCTGAAACACACATCATCCCAGCCATCCTTAGCGCTCACATCCTGCCTTCATTTTGGTTCCGTTCTGCCCACAGAGCAAGAGCCTTGCTCCTGAAACCCTGATCTCCCATTTGTATAATCCATAAAGAACTCCTCTCTACCTCCTGGGAAGATAAATGGCATCATATCTATAAAGCACTCTGTATTTACCTTACATCTTTCTTAGCAGAGTTTCAAGTGCTGTGATCACTTCCTTTTTATTAATGAGATCAGAGGGCACTGTACTTGCTCCCCTATTTGGAGTTTAAAATAAGGCTGAGGGAAACAAATTAACTGGAAAGGTATTTTTCCCTGCTGGGCTCTCTCATGAATAAACTTCCTGAAGCCATAGCGGGTGCCCTTCCTCAGGTGCAGCCCTTGCCACCTTCCCTCTCAGCACTCCTGTCCAGTGCTGTGTCATTGTTGTCACCACATATGGGGTCCGGTTGACTAGTGACCTTCTCCGAGACGCTTTATTACAGGGGGCCAAGTTCAGATCATCTGCCAGAGATTTAAGATCTCTGTTGGAATGAGACCCATTTCAGAACAACAAAAGACCTTACTGGAATGCAGCCACCCTGGAATAATACGCTTCCTGCATTCCGGTGACAGGTTCTCTGCTATTTCCAAGCCACTTGGATAACGCCTCCTGGAATCATTCACCTTTCCATTGTCCATGAACCCCACCTCCTCCCTTTGTTTATCTTCCTAGGAAAAATCAGGGACTAGCATGGGAGCCAGTGTTCCTTCATTTGTTCCAGATAAACAATTATGCTCTGTGTGACTGCTCTTTGGGCTATTATGTAAAGGAAGAGAGGTACTCTGTGTAGCCATTTCATGTTTTTCTCCTCTGACCTGGCCTATCAATCAGGCTGTTTAAGTGGCATGCTTACCAAGGGGAGAAGCCAGAAATTACAATGTACCTTTCACCGACATTAGAGGTTGTAACAGAAAATGTCCAACTCCTAAACTGATGGTTGGCCAAATGAAAGAATCAGTAATTGTCTTATATCACCTTCTGGTTAAGAAACACTTGAGTCAAAAGTCACAGTGGGCTCAACAACCGGGCATTTATTTATCTAAAATATTTCACCAGGGAACCCCTCGGTTGTGATTTCATTCACGTGGATGCTGCTCGCAGAGAGGCTGCCACCTGGAGTTAGGAGTAAGTACCTGGTGTGGATCCTGAGATTAGGTTTCTTATTACATTCTGTGTCTGTTCCCCTGGTGTGGCCACGTGCCAAGACAGCGGCAGGATGGAGTGGAAAGAGCACTGAGTTGGGAGTGAGGAGATCTGGTTTTGGATCCTACCTCTGCCTCAAACTGGCTGTGTCTTGACTTTCCTGTGTCTTTGTTTTCCTATTTGCAAGAACAAGAAGGTTGGACTGGATGATTTCCCAAGCCTGCCTCCAGTTCTGACATGCTCAGGTTGCTCGGGTCTAGGTCACATAATGGTGGCCATCGATACCTGATTATCCAACTAATCAATACCTTGGCTAGTGGTAGAGACCTTTAGGTTGGCCTGTATAAGGAGTTCTGAGGAGCCATGAAGAACTGAGCCTCAGGAGTGATAATAAGGGTTCTTCTTAGGACCGGGAGCTTTGGGTCTCTCCTCAGCTTCACAGGCTCCCTACTGACTCCTCAGGATATGCTGGGTGACAGGTGGTCTATTCCTTAGGTGGCTCAGCTCTGTCTAGAGATGGCTGTGCTGCTGGTGGGAACTGTGTCTTCTCCCAATCACCTTCATATGTCTCCAAATGCATGGTTGCAAATTCCATCATGGAGACTCCTACAGCTCATGAGAAGCGGAAGGGGCTGCCCTTGTGGTTCAGAAGGCCTTCTTGATTACTAACCTAAGCCCTTTCTCTGGAAATGTGCCCTGTGGGCACTAGGAGAATATTGGGTCTCCCTTAGTGAGCAGTGGGCACTAACTCACTTTGAAGTTTTACTACTCCTAGACAGGTCCAGATTATTTATGGGGTCAGACGTGCCCAGGAGACACGGTTGTGCCTCTGACCGGCTTTTCCAGTTAAAGAAGGGTTGAATGGCGCAAGGCACAGGCCCATTCATCTTCAGCCCTCTCCTTCACTCCATTACGCCTCATTGCATCACCCACTTCCGTGGAGGGTTGGAGTCCAGCTGAAAGGGGGAGCTCCATGAGACAGGAGAGCTAGGCAGGAAAAACCGTTTAGAGGACCCCAAAAAGGGAAGGGACTGCCTCTCCTGACCCCCTCTACCTCTTCACAGGCCAGGTGCAAATGCCCATAGGACCTATTAAGTCTGAAAAAGAGAGCCCCAAACCAAAGCAATATCAGGTTTCTTTCTGTACTAACAGCTCCCAGACAAATTGCTAATAATTCATGATCGTGGGTTCTTGGCAGTAAGGCCATACTCTGCAGACTGCCTCTTTCGCTGCTAACATAATCTGATTTTCAGTGTGAAAAATAGCTGAAGCACTCAGAAATGGTCCAGTCATAGCATCTCATTAAAACACACACATGCGCACGCGCACCTGGGCACTCCACATTGTGAAGAAAGCTAAAAATATCTGTGCAATAGATCTTTTTCAAAAATCAAGTATTTCACACTAGAAGCTCTAAGCTGTTTTCATTATGTTTTTTGCATGGCTGACAGCAAAATTCAAGAAGCTGGGAAAAGGTGAACTGAGTGCATGGGCTAGTTCAGTTTTGGAAGTTGAAACATCACTTCCCCCGGCAGTCAATAACCAGTTGTTTCTCCTTCCTGTAGTGGCAGGGCCGAGCTGCCAGCTTCGACAGTGAGAGCTCATGTCCATCTCCGAAACCACCTCCGACACCGTGAGCTGCAGGGCTGAGCCACACGAACTCAGACTCAGTGATGTTCTTTTTGCACTTGTTCAGCCGTCTAGACGCAGTGTTGTGCAGTCACCGAGGCAGCAGCTGTCCGTCTGCCACTCCAGTCTTAACTGCTCCTGTGTCGGTCAAGGCCAAGACACTTGTCCTGTGGTCAGATCTGTTTTAGTCTTTTCTGTCTCTCAAGGTGATGTTTTTGTGATTTTCACTTTGTATGGGTCTACTGTCAAGAAAAGAAGAAAAAACAAAACAAGAAAACAATGAGTAGGAAACAGCAAGGTGGAAAGCCCAGAAGTTGGCTGTATAAAATACAATGTAAAATAGCAGTCTTTGGAGGAAAGGTGGATTGAGTTTCTAAAATTTTGTGTCTCCCCCATGCTCTACGGCCCTGGAGGCAGCAGTGTGGTGGAGCTACAGCTGCATTTCAGGGCCCTGCGGGAATGGTACAAATCAACCCAAGACCTTGTACGAGGCTATTCCTCTTCGGAGCTCTTCACTGGTGTGGCATAACCCGAGATGTGGACTCCTGTCCCATGTCGAAGTCACAGGACTTCTGCAGTGTTTGTGACCCTCCAGCAGATATGCAGAGGCCCTTGCTTCCCTTCCTTGTTGGCTTGCCTCATGGACTAGAAACATCTTGATTCCTCATGGGGACTCAGTCACTTTCTTTAGGAATGATTCTGCTGAAACTAACCACACCATATGTTTTCTGATGTGCTACAGTGAACAAGCACGTTTGTTTGCAAACAAGATCTTTGTTCTCAAAAATAACCTTCGTTGTAAGGAAAGAGAGGCACAAATGTTCCACAGTGATTTCTGCATTTTACATGCCTTTATCACTCCACAAAGTGTCAATCAGCTGTTTTAAATGCCTAAATAGATCACAGAAAAACTTGGATACAATTTTCTTTTGTGAAAGAAGACTTTTGAAATCCGAGCCACTGTTTGAGTTGGCCTCTCTGGGAAGATCTTCTTTGCTGAAACTCAGCCGGCCCGAGCCTATTTTAGCCCCTTGGACTCTGGGATAAAACTCATCTTAAACCTTTAGTTCCATAAATCACTGAGGTACTCAGTGTTGTTTGTTTCAGTGATCGTGAGGGGTTTTGTTTTTGTTTGTTTTTCCTTCGGATCTCTATCTTAGGCCAAATTCAGCATAGGAAAAAAGAAGTTTGAACTGTTCTGTATTATAATAGCACATTCCTATTGAGTGAATAGTGGCTGTCCCATGAACCCCTATCCCTAGGTCGATTTCCTCAGCATCAGTCTGTACAGCCCTGGTAAGCACATGGAGATGAGTTTTCACTCCAACTTGTGACTGCACAGTGCCAGTTTCCACCCGTGTATAGGATTTGCAAGAAGCAAGTCAGCTGATGAGCCCCTTCTTTCAACAATGAAAGGTCAAGGACATAAAAGCTATTCGCACACCTTGTGTCTTATTCTTTCTATACATTACATGCTATAGGAGCGGCAACTTTCAATAAAGTAACACTCATTTCAAGCCAAGTTATCATCTGATATAATGGTAGGTGGTGTCTGCTAGCCCTAAAAATGACCACATTGGGCATCAGCTAACAGGACATGGTGGTAAAATGTTTCTCACCTAGAAAAGTAAATGTAGATAAATCTAAACTCCATTCTGTACGGAACCTTACACTAGGGACTAATGTGTAGATCGCCTGGCTCCCCAAATTTCTTGTGATTGATAGGCCTCCCTAGTCAGGCAGTGCTGTGTTTGGATGTTCTCTTGAAAGTTAGAAAAACCCCAAGGTCATGCCAAGACTCTCAGCAGGCAACACACTTCATTATGTTTCTAGATTAACCCCATCAAGATGGCCATTTCAATCACTGAGCAGATGCTGCTGATCTTGCGAGTTGAAAGGGAGCGACTGAGTTTCTTGGGCCATAAGGAGCTCGCAAAATAGTATGAGACGATCCTTCCAAAAGTGAGCCCAAAATGCATGTCCAGGTGTCGTTTCTACACCCTTAGGCGGGATGACCCATCCTAACCTTTGGAGAAGGAAATGTGCTCAGTGTGAATCATGGAAAAGTATTGCTCATCCAAGAGATTTTTCTTATACCAAGTGGCTCTGTCCTGTCAGGGAACCCTCCAACTGTTTCAGAAGATCATTTCCTGAGGGGATTATGGCCAGCCTCCATGCCACCCCAGCCAACAGCTACCACTCCAGCTCCAGCAGCCTCGGGAAATTCCTACTGGCATAGGAACACACCCCAGGAAGGCTTTTAGCTCCTAGACCCCCATTTCCCCACCCTCCTGGGCCCCCTATTCCTCCCACACACCCCAGTCAGTCCTCAATCTGAAGCCAGAATGATGCCTGAATGGCTGCCAATTTCATTATCTAGCCCAGTATCTCTCCCTCACAGATGAGAATAAATTGAAATACAGGTTTCAGAGTAAACTGAAATTCAAAGTTGATTCATTTTTCAGCTTCCCCTGGCATGAGAAACCTCTTGGGTGAGCTTTGCTGAAGTCGAGATAACCAGGGTGGTTTGCACACAGATGTTTTGAAAAACACAAAGTTCTCTTCTTCATTTAGCAGTGTTTCTGGGCTGAAAGATGCCCCCCTCCCTCTCTGCGCTTCCCCAGGATGTTAATTAATTGTATCATCATTTAAAAACTTATGTTGTTAATTACTGCTTTGTGTCTTCCCAACCCTGTCACAGCCTGGAGTTTTTATTCAATTAAATCTCTGTCTCTTGCCCATTTCTCTTGTTATTGTATGTTCCTTGGGTTCAGCAGGCAGCACACACACAGGGTGTCATAAAGCTCTTGTTTAGAATGTTCCATCCACTTCCCTTCAGCCAGAGGTAGATGAAAGGGCTCTTGGCTGTCACTTTGCCCAAGGAGTAGCTGTGCATTGCAGCAGGCTGGAATCCGCCTGGGCTGTGTCAGGCTTGTGGCTTGGGCAGCATGTAGGACTCAGGGTTTCACTGTTCCCTCGGCTGTTCAGCCGTACAAACAGCCCCTCCAGATACTGGAGCCTCTCTGGGGAAGTGGGTAGCACTCATATCTGGAAAGTACAATGTTTTCGTCCACCAGGAAAGGAATCCTGCTAACTCTTGTAAAATAGAACTTGGCAAAGCCGTGGGAAAATCCTGTTGCAGACTCGAAAATTTAAAAAGAACATTGCAACTTAATAGAATATCCTCTGTGCTTCTCTGCTCACCCCCAGCATGTAATTAATTTAGAAGGAGGCCTGTAGAGAGGAGAGTGGAAGGTACATCCGCTTCTGCACATCTGCATCTAAATTACTGGTGCTCTACAGGGAACTGACCTGCTGAGAGAGGCACCAGGCCTCCTAAGGAGGCCCCTCCCCCTCACCAGAGGCTTCCCATCCTGTCAACCCGTGGGATTTGATGATGCACGGGGCCATATCCAGAGTTGAAAACCCAATCAGATACAAGGGTCAGACTGTATGGGCTAGGTTGTGCTGTAATAACAATCTTCAGATCTCAGTGGCTGAAAGCAGTAAAGGCTTATTTCTTGCTCTACATGCCCATTGTGCAGGGACTGAATGGGGACATGCTCTTTGCATTTATTCAGGTGTCTCAGGATGACTAAGCAGCCAGCATCTCAAACACTGCTATTGCCAACTCCAAAAGAAAAGAACACTGATAAGGGTCTCACAACAGGCCTACGTTTCTTTCTTTCTTTCGCAGTCCATTGCCCAAACTACCCATACAACCTCCAAAAGCATCAGGAGTTCGAGGAAACAAGACTGGAAATATTTAACAAGTAGCCTTTGGGAAGACTACAGTGAACCTCACAGGCCTGGGGAGGGTGACAGCTACTGAATGGATGCTTCAGGAAAACTGAAGAAAGGGGAACAATGTATTCTATTTGTTGTTGAATGAATCTTGCCCACAAAATCTTAGTCAGGTAAAATGGCAATATGCGAAGACAGTTCATGGAAGAAAGCGGAAGTACAGAAGGGAGGTGAAATAGAAGGCTGAAGAAAGCCTAAGTCTAAGAAAGATTACACAGCTCAGCAGAATGAGTGATGGCTTCACAAATAAGTGGCATCCAGTCGAAGCCTTTAAGAATGAGTAGAATTTGGATACATGGAAGTTGGGAAGAGGAGGAATAGTCTAGCCCAGTGGTAGCAAACTGATGGCACATATGTTACTTTTCTTTAAAGACAAAAGATGTTAATGTATGAGTTGTTTTTTCTAGGCTAAAACCTCAGTATTCAGGTTTAATTGCAGTGTTGGCACTTTGTGATAAATAAGTGGGGTTGGGGTTGCAGTTTGGGCACTAGTCTCTAAAAGGTTCACCTTCATTGGTCTAGGCTGAGGCACTCACACAAGTGAAGACCCAGAACAGAGAAATTCTTAGGGCTGCTAAGCACTCTGGTCTAGAGGAGACAGGGAACCCCCAAGCTCAACTGCCACTGGTCAGCCCATGCAAAACACAGGATTTCCATGCAAGAAGCTGTTTTGTCCCCTGCCCTAAGCTCCATACCACCAGATTCTAGCCCTAGCACCTGTCTTGTTCTTGCCAATCACCTTTATTGTGAATAGCTCTGCTGGCCCCCTCTTTCTGTGGCTTGGTGGCTGCTCCCAAATGGACCAATCCCTGGGGATGGCAGCACTTGCCTGACCTTGAGAATCAGCCCAGCTGCCATAGTCATCCACTTAACCTCTTCCCTCTCTGGGCTGCTGTGTAGTAGGCAGCCCCTTGCGACTTTATGATTTGTGCTGTGTGCTACTCCCCTGTAGGGTGAGCCTTGTCTATGCATCTGATCCCCTAGCAGAGGGAACGGCCTCCCCCAGCTTTCCTTTGGCAGCAAGTCCATGAGGGGATACTGGGGGCACAGAGAGTGTCCACTTAGGAGGGGCAAAGGTTGAGCCAGGTACAAGCAGTGCATGAGGAAATAAGGGCACCTGTATAAGATGCAGTGGTTCCAGAGGGGAAAATGCCACAGGGCTAGCCATGAGCTAAACTGGAGTATAGGGAGAGGGAAGGGGGATTCATAAGGTTGTGTGTGTGTGCACGCATGCATGTGTGTTGCTGGGGATTGAACCCAGGGCCTTGGCATTAAGCTACATCCCCAACCCTTTTTATTTCTTAAAACAGTTTTACTGCTAAGTCACTAAGTTCTCATGGGGACTTGAACTTGCAATCCTTCTGCCTCGGTCTCCCAGAGTACTGAGATTAACAAGAATTCTCCAGTATGCCTGGCTTCATGCTGTTGGACTCTAGTACCTTTTTTTTTTTTGGTACCGGGGATGGAACTCGGGTCCTTGCACTTGTGCAGCAGACGGCGAAACCACTGCGCTAAATCCCCGGCCCCTGTAGTACCTTTAATAAAATGCTGCTTGAATTTCCAGGAGGGGAGGAGGCATATGTCACCATGCCCAGCTAACTGTTATATGTTTTTATACTTGGGAACCGAGTGTTCTGTCTTCCACAGAAGCCAGAAACAGGGGAACAAGGACAAATGATGAGCCTGGTTTGGGCCGAACTGAGTTTGAGAGGCTGGAGGCTGGATGTCTGCAGACAGGTGCAGTTGAAGGTGCAGCTTGGCAGAGAGGTCGGTGTGAGATGTTAATTTACAGAATGCTCACACATGCAATGAGACATGAAGACAGGAGGCTAACACTGCTAAGTGGGTTAAGTAGGCAAAGATAGCCTCAAACAGAGATTCTTCAGGAACCATCAACATTTAGAAGTTATGGAAAAAGGACGTGATGTGAATAAGAACGGACAGATGTCCAAGTAAGTTGATCAATGAAAATGCTGATGAACAAAAACAGATCAATCAAGGGCTTCATAAAATGATTCTTCATTAACAAGCTTATCCAAGTTGCTTAAATATAACTCTATTCATTAAATCCCATTTTCACCCACATTTGCAAGGCTTTTTTTTCTCCTCTCAGCTCTGCCCTTGCCTTTTAAAAATTGTGGTAATATACATATCAAATTGACCATTTTAATCATTTTTTTCTTTTAATAATTTTTACAGTACAGTTCAGTAGCATTAAATACATTCACATTGGTATGCAGCCATTACCACTCTCCAGCCACCGAACTTTTCATCTTTTAAAGCTGAAGCTTCATTCCTACTAAACATTAACTCCCCATCCCTTCCCCAGCCCCTGTCAACCATTACTTTACTTTCTGTCTCTGTGGATTTGATGACACTGGATACCTCGTATGAGTGGAATCATACAAGCGGCTTATTTCACTCAGTGCAATATCTTCAAGATTCATTCATGTTACAGCTTGTGTCAGAACTTCCTTCCTTTTAAATGCAGAATAATATTACATTGTATGAATTCACCACATTTTAAAAATCCATTCATCTGTCAAGTGAACACTTGTATTACTTCCATCTCTCGGCTACTTGTCAATATTGCTATTCTGAACACTGGTGTACAAAACTCCATTTGAATTCCTGCTCTCAATTCTTCACAATGCCTAGAAGTGGAATTTCTGGATCATTAAATTCTAGGCTTCATGTTTTGAGAACCCACCATACTATTTTCTATAGCAGATACACACTATTTTTTTTTCACTATTTTATATTCCTATCAGCAGTGCACAAAGAATTCTGATATATCCACATCTTCACCAACATGGGTTTTTTTTTATGGTAATGTGCTGGTGGATGTAAAATGGTATCTTATTGTGATTCTGAGTTACATTTCTCTAAGAGTGATGTTGAGTATCTTTTTTTCAATTTTTATTTTTATTACTACATGTTTGTAATACATAATGATTACAATCCCTGTGGAGAGTTGGTACACGTACATAACACATCTTAATTCATTTTTCATCCCTTTCCTCTCCTCTCCCTCTATCTCTTGTTCCCTTCCTCTTTGCAAAAGATCTATCTCCCTATTTCCTAATATCTTTTATTTTGCTCTTTATATTTTGGGTTTCTCATATAAGAGAAACTATGCAATATTTAAGCTTATGTGTCTGATTTATTTCACTTAACATTATGGTCCCAAGGTGCATCCATTTTCCTACAAATAACTCGTTTATCGTTCTTTATGGCAGAGTAGTATTCCATGGTGTGTAAATACCACCATTCATCTGTTGTAGATACATAAATCACTTTTCAAGATTTAGCTGTCATATTAAAGGTATGCATATATCACTGTGAAATGATGTTTTTAACTCTTTCAGGAAGATATTTAGAAGGAGACTAGCTGGGTTGAATAGAATGTCTATTTTTAGTTTTTTGTCATTGAGCATATTTTCTTGTGCTAATTGGCTATTTGTTTATCTTATTTAGAAAAACGTCTATTCAAGCCCTTTGCCCATTTTGAATTAGGCTGGTTGTTGTTGCTGTTGGTGAGAGGTAGGAGTTCTCTATATATCTAGATATTAATCCCTTATCAGATATGTGATTTGTAAAACTCCATGTGTTACTTTTTAATGCTGTTGATTCATCTCCTTTGATGCACAAAAGTTTTTAATTTTGATGAAGTCTAATTTGTCTCTTTTTTCTTTTGTTGCTTGTGCCTTCAATATCATATCCAAGAAATCATTGCCAAATCTAAAATCATGAAGCTTTGCTCTGTTTTCTTCGAAGGGTTTGTAGTTTTAGCTCCTTACACATAGCTCTTTAATTCATTTTGAGTGATGTTTGTACATAATGTAAGAAAAGGGTGCAATTTCATTCCTTTCATGTGAGTATCAGTTTTCCCAGCATTATTTGTTGAAGACTATCCTTTATTATCCATTATTTGTTG